CCCTGCCTCTCCTCAAGCCTCTCCAATCTCCTCAGGCCTCTCTACCTACCAGGGTCTCCTCTCAGCCCTCTCCTCCAGCTCAGGCCAGAGGAGAGCCAGAGTACTGCTCCGCTCCTGGAGGCGCATCTCTTGCAGCGTCTCTTGCGGTGTCTCCTCTATCTCCCCTCTCCGGAACCCCTTCTACTCTGTAACAGGTGCCCCCCCCCTTTGATACCCTGCACCCCAGCAGCCTGGCATGGGTGATGATGACATCAGCATGGGCGAGACTTCCTGCCCCTCAGGTTCTCACATCTGCAGCAAATTTGAAAAACTTTAATATCATAAAATACAATAATAATAATCATTCATACAAACAACAACTCCTAAACCAGGCTTATGCCTGTAATCCTAACTATTCAGGAGGCAGGGATCTGAGGATCATGGATGGAAGCCAGCCCAGGAAGGAAAATCAGTAAGACAAAATTTATCTCCAATTAACCAGAAAAAAATCTGAAATTGGAGCTGTGGCTCAAGTGGCAGAGAACCAGCCTTGAGTGAAAAGCTAAGCAAGACAGATCAGAACCTGAGTTCAAGCCCCAGAGAACTGTGACCCCCCCAAAAAAAAATCCGTGCCAAGTGGAATATGGGAATGGACGGAATAATGTGGGTAAAAGGTGAGGGTGATGGGCTACGCCTGCCTTTATGCCCTCCACAGAACCCTGCCAATTCTACACAAAATGAAATGTTATAATATCCTGAGTAACTGAGACCTTCAACCCTTAGGTAAGAAGCAACTTAAAATATGATTTTGCTGGGTCTAAAAATTCACTAAAATGAAGATAAAAACTGAGCAACCCCCCCTCACATACCCTCTTGTATCTAATGGGAATCTGCAATCCTAACAATATGAAAGTCCACTTCCCTACCACCCTACTCGCCCCTGCAAGTACAGGTTCCTGAATTCCCTAAAGCAAGGCTGAACCAGGACCTGCTCAGTGGATTTGCATAATAGACTCCCCAAAGCAGGCTGGCACATATTTCTTCAGGCCCAAACCACAAACTTGCAAAGCCCATCCAGGAACTTTTTGTACCTCCCAGCCACCTTTCACCCAAGACCCTAATTAAGTCCCTTTACCCCTGGCCCCCCAGCACACCTCATGTCTCCTATCTCTTCTCACCATGGCATCCCGCTTCAACATTAAAGTTGAGGTGTGCTGTTGAGGTGGTGTCTCTACCTGCTTTCATTCTTTTCACCTTTTCCAATCCATCCTTTTCCCTGACAGCATCTGTGCTCTTTGACCCCAGCCATCCTCTTAAGCCATCCTCTTAAGTAGTTACTTTACAATGATCCTGGGCTACAGGAAAGAGTCACAATTTGTTTGGGCACCAGTGGCTCACACCTGTAATCCTAACTACTCAGGAGGCTGAGATCTGAGGATCACAGTTCAAAGCCAGCCCATGCAGAAAAGTCTGTGAGACTCTTATGTCCAATTAACCACCAGAAAACTGGAAATGGCACACTGGCTCAAGTGGTAGAAAGCTCAAAGCTCACCTTGAGCTGAAGAGCACTCAGACCAAGTTCAAGCCCCACAACTGGCAAAGAGAGAGACAGAGACAAAACAACCAAAAAGCTCAGGAGAACAACTTTATCACTTTATCAAGTGATAAAGTGGTAACCCTCTAGAAACAAAGGCTGAACTAATTGTCAACCAGGCCATGTCTATGACCTGGGACTGGGTTGTTTATTTTTTATTTGTGTGTGTGTGTGTGTGAGTACACTGGGGCTTGAACTCAGGGTCCAGGTACTATCCTTTAGTGTTTGCTGAAGGTTTATGCTCAAGGTTGACTTTCCTGACTGAGCTGGCTTTTGTTGTTGTTGGTTGTAGGGCTTGAACTCTAGGCCTGGGTGCTGCCCCTGAGCTCTTCAGCTCAAGGCGAGCTCTCTACCACTGGAGCCACAGTGCCACTTTCAGTTTTCTGGTGGAGATGAGTCTCTTTCCTGCCTGGCTGGTTTTGAACTGTGATCCTCAGATCTCAGCTTCTTGAGTAGCTAGGATTACAGGCATGAGCCACCAGTGCCTGGTGGTCTCCCTGTTTTCCTTGCCTTTCTACCCAAACAGATACTAGACATTGGTGAGGCATAAGCTGGGGCTTTTCCAATTTCTTCTAGTTCTGAAAGAACTCTCCTGTATAGAGGCTGAAACTGGGTTTTTATATCTCAGGTCCAAAGTCCAGGAGTCCCACATTAGGTCTGGCCACTTGCCCCTACATGCCAAGGTGGAGAAAGATTTATTACACAGCAGCCAAGGCAAGACAGCACTTGAGTACATCTTCAGCCAGTGGTATTAACACTGGCCTCAGGTTCAGTAGAATTGGGGGCAGAGTATGCCAAAGGCATGCAAGGTTAAAACAGTCCCAAGTCATAGGCATGGTCCCCATTGACCATTAGCTCAGTCTTTGTCTCTGAAGGAATTCCAGGGAAGTTATCACTTTACCTTTGTAGCAGGAACAAGTTGCCTAACAGATGTTCTCCTGAGTATGTGGCTGTCTTCTTTTTAAGATGATAAGAAAATAGCATTGCTTGTTTGAAGAGCAATTTGCCTTTTGTCATAAGATACTACTTTTACTGGAGCCCAGAGAGATTGTAAAGTGACTGAAGCAGAGAACAGCTCAGATCAAAGGGGACAGATAAAAGTTGGGGGACAGACTTTTTAGTTCATTCACAGAGCCCAGCAAAAGCATCTTTTATTTTTATTGTGCTACACCTGGGGCTTGAACTCAGGGCCTGGGCATTGTCGCTGAGTTTTGCTCAAGGCTAGTGCTCTACTTCTGGCTTTTTTAGTGGTTAGTTCAGTATAAGAATCTTATGGAATTATTTATTTATTTATTTATTTTTGGGTCCGGTCATGGAGCCTGAACTCTGGGCCTGGGTGCTGTCCCTCAGCTCTTCAGCTTAAGGCTAGTGCTCTACCACTTGAGCCACAGGGCCACTTCCCGCTTTTTTCTTTTTGCTTATGTGGTGCTGAGGAATTGAACCCAAAGCCTCGAGCATGCAAGGCAAGCGCTCTACCACTGAACCACCTTTCCAGCCCCCTTATGGAATTTCTTGCTGGAGCTGGCTTTGAACCTTGATCCTCAAACCTCAGCCTCCCGAGTAGCTAGGATATCAGGTATGAGCCATAAATGCCCACCTGATAGGGATAGCCACGTGCAGGAACCCAAAATTCCATTTCTCTTTTCCCATTTCAATACCCTTTGGCAGCTCCCAAGATGGTCCAGAAAAAACAACAACAACAACAACAACAACAAAAAACCTTAAAAATCCAGAGAAGGGGCTAGGAAGGTGGCTCAGCGGTAGAGTGCTTGCCTCACATGCACAAGGCCCTGGATTCAATTCCTTAGTACTACATAAGCAGAAATAGCCAGAAGTGGTGCTGTGGCTCAAGTGGTAGAGCGCTAGCCTTGAGCTGAAGAGCTGAGGAACAGTGCCCAGGACCAGAGTTCAGGCCCCACAACTGACAAAAAAAACAAAAATTCAGAGAAGTCAGATGTGGTGGTTCACGCCTATAATTCCTGTACATGAGAGATAGAGGCAGGAAGACCATGAGTTCCAGGCCAACCCAGGCTACATAATGATGAAGACAGTGATTCAATGAAACTGGAATTTCAGGCAAAAACAAACAAAACCGAGTTTCTGGGGGTCCCAATAAGACGAGGTGTTTCCACTCAGCCCTATTAAAGGTGCCAGAATTGATGAACAGAGAAAAGAAGTATAATCAGATGTGACTAGGAAGACCAAGGGACTCTGTGCTGAGCTGAATTTGTCTTTGGGCTGTTTTTTAATTGTTGAGGACAAAGGCTGGGCAGGGGTGCATAGCTAGAACAGTCCTGGTGAAATAGAGCCTGGCAGATCATGAGTTCAGTCTTTGAGAAGTTGTTACTGCTTTCCCACCAGTGCAAAACTGAACAGGTGGCCCGGGCAGTGGTCTTCCTGAGCTTTTGAAGTGTTTGCTTCAAGATAATAAGATGGCTTTGCTTGTTGGGGGGGGGGTAGGGGCAATTTGCCCTCTGTCACAAGATGTTTCTCAATGAATCCTGTTTTTGGAGCACTAGGGAGTTGGAAAGTGCAGCCAGGAATGGCTCAGATCGACTGAGGGGAACAGATACAAAGTGGGGGGGGGGGAGGGCGGGGAAGAGCTGTGTGTGAATTTACAAGCTTGTAGTGAACTTACCAGCCCAGGAAAACCACCTTTGAAGCTATCTCTTACATCAAAACGAAAAAGGAAAACCTAGCAAAAACACCAACAATTCCGAAAGGAGAATAAAGGGGATTCCAGCTCAACTTGAAAGCCGGGCTGTGCTCAGGCGAGGCCATGTCCCAGTGCTGCAGCGGCTGCCGCCTGCAGGAGGCGCTGCGGAAAACACTGGAAAAACAGCTGTGTAGGCCAGCGCCCAGACGTGGCTGCCACCTGTCAGCTACTCGGGAGGTGAAGAGCTGAGGATCAAGGTTCGAAGCCCCAAAAAAGCCACAAGTGAAGCCGGGCGCTGGTGGCTCACGCCTGTCATCCTAGCTACTCAGGAGGCTGAGATCTGAGGATCAAGGTTCAAAGCCAGCCCGGGGAAGGAAAGTCTGTGAGACTCCTATCTCCAGTAAACCACAAGAAAACCGGAAGTGGCGCTGTGGCTCAAGCGGTAGAGCGTTAGCCTTGAGCGCCCAGGCCCGGAGTTCAAGCCCCAGGACCGGCAACAAAGACCAAAAGAAGTCTGGCATCCTTATCTCAATTTAACCGAACCGCGGCGGGGCGTCCACTCGGCCACCCCTCCGCTCCGGGGCCTGCGAGACCCGCACGGTAATTCGGGTCCCAGCATCCTTTGCGCGAACCCTCACTACACCTCCTCCTCCCCCGCCCCCCCCAGCGGCTCCCAGCGGCCGGCAGACACTGAGCATGCGCAGCTCGCCGGCCACGGAAGCCGCGAAGGAAGGGGGCGGGTCCGGGGCTGGCGGGCGCGGGGAAAATGGCGGCGGCGGCGACGGCAGCAGCGAACGGGACCGGAGGGAGCAGCGGGATGGAGGTGGACGCAGCAGGTAACGGGTCGTGCGAGGCGGCTTCTGGAGACACCGTTCTAGGGTGCGTTACGGTTCTTCCAGGCGACATCTCTGTCCGCGGTCACTTAACGGGAAGAATGCCCGGGCCCGGGCTGCTCACGGTCCTCAACTTCCAGTCTCCTGGGGAAGAACGTGAGGTCGGGATGCTCACCTTCTTCCCTTTCCCTCCGTGCTCAGTCGTCCCCAGCGTGATGGCCTCCGGCGTGACCGGCAGCGTGTCCGTGGCTCTCCATCCCCTGGTCATTCTCAACATCTCCGACCACTGGATCCGCATGCGCTCCCAGGAGGGGCGGCCCGTGCAGGGTGAGTGGGGGCGGGCCCGCGCCCCAACCCCGGCAGCCTCGCGCCGGCCTCGGCCCATGCCTCCCCGCACGGTGCCCCCAATTCCTGGTTCAAACTGACCCCGACCCTCAAATGATGGAGGGAAAGGAAAAAAAAAGTTGTGGATTTCTCATCCTTACCTCTGTATTCTGTGTTGATCTCTTCCCAGTGATCGGGGCTCTGATCGGGAAGCAGGAGGGTCGAAATATCGAGGTGATGAACTCCTTTGAGCTGCTGTCGCACACCGTGGAAGAGAAGATTATTATTGACAAGGAATATTATTACACCAAGGAGGAGCAGTGTGAGAGGGGGATATAAGTGGGGAAGAGGAGCGGGAGGTGGGTGTCAATAACCTCCCCCCCCCTCCAAAAAAAAAAAAAGCAGATGGGGAAGGTCTAGAGAATAGCTGAAGCAGATCCCAGAGAAAACTGAAGCAGATCCCAGAGAAAAAAAAGAGCATCTTTTAGGTTTCACCCCTCCACTCCCAAGCAAGTAAAAACAGAGAAGACAGGAGAGGGGAAAAGGAATATTCTAAATTAAGGGAGTGATGATGGTAAAATAAAAATCACTTTCAAGGCTAAGGAAGGATGGTTTAAAGAAACTCTTTTTTGCTCTGTCCCTTTTCTCTCCAGTTAAACAGGTGTTCAAGGAGCTGGAGTTTCTGGGTTGGTATACTACAGGGGGGCCACCTGACCCCTCCGACATCCACGTGCATAAGCAGGTATACACCTTCACACGTGTGCAAACACAGACAGCTACGGGGAAGAAAATGGGCATTGAGTTTTCTATGCCTTGTCTCTCTAGGTGTGCGAGATAATCGAGAGCCCCCTCTTTCTTAAGCTGAACCCTATGACCAAGCACACAGATGTGAGTGTCACTGACTTGTTCACTTATCACTTTTTTTATCCTTACTCCCTGCTGCGTTTTACTTACTGTCAACATCTCTGTGGGAAGGCCATTTACCCACCCCTGTATGACTTTGGGCTGTCCTTTAAGCTCAGCAAGGCATTTGAATGTATAAAATGGGGATAATCCCTCTGGTTTCTCAGGAAAATTAGGGGAGAGAGAAATATGTGGTAGGTGCTCTATGTATAGGTTCAGGTGCATTTGCTCTTAGTAAGAGTTGTTCTTCGCTTCTTTACAGCTTCCTGTCAGCGTTTTTGAATCAGTCATTGATATAATCAATGGAGAGGTAATACCTTACCCCTTCAACCTTCAGCTCCTGCTCCTGGCTCATTTCCTGATTTCTGTGTGTGTATGTGCACAGGTTCTGGGACTTGAACTCTGACACTCTCAGTCTCATTTGGCTTTTTTTGCTCAAGCCTGGTGCTCTACTACTTCAGCCACACCTTCACTCCCAGCTTTTTGCTAGTTAATTGTAGATAGCCTCTTTTCTGCCCAAGCTTTTTTTTTTTTTTTTGTCGGTCGTGGGGCTTGAACTCTAGGCCTGGGCACTGTCCCTCAGCTCTTCAGCTCAAGGCGAGCGCTCTACCACTTGAGCTACAGCGCCACTTCCGGTTTTCTGGTGGTTTATTGGAGATAGGAGTCTCACGGTCTCCCCTGCCCGGGCTGGCTTTGAACCGCGATTCTCAGATCTCAGCCTCCTGAGTAGCAAGGATTACAGGCGTGAGTCACCAGCACCTGGTGTCTGCCCAAGCTTTGAACCATGGTCCTCAGGTCTCATTCTTCTGGGTAGTTAGGATTATAGTAAGCTTGCTCCACCAACACAAGAACATTTCCTGCTTTTCATTCTATATGGGAACCTCTGCCCTGCAGGCCACAATGCTGTTTGCTGAGCTGACCTACACCCTGGCCACTGAGGAAGCTGAACGTATTGGTGTTGACCATGTGGCCCGAATGACGGCAACGGGCAGCGGAGAGAACTCCACTGGTAAGGGAGTTGGTTCTTTGGAAGTGAGGTGTGTGTGCTGCGTGTGACGTGACCTCACCTCTCCCTGTGCCCCATAGTAGCTGAACACCTGATAGCACAGCACAGTGCGATCAAGATGCTGCACAGTCGTGTCAAGCTCATCTTGGAGTATGTCAAGGCCTCTGAAGCAGGTAGGACAGTTTGCTTCCTCTCTCCCCTGGGAAAGTGACCGCATCCACGTCGACGCAGCCCCTCTGTGCCCTTAGGAGAGGTCCCCTTTAACCATGAGATCCTGAGGGAAGCCTACGCTCTGTGCCATTGCCTCCCGGTGCTCAGCACTGACAAGTTCAAGACAGACTTCTATGATGTGAGTCTGAAGCTTTGGATGGGAGAGGGAGGGGGGAATTGACTGTCCTTGCAGACAAGGCACAGACTGCTGTCCCTTGGACCTCACGTGAAGGATCCCCTGGGGAACTGGTTCTTTCTGTTCCCTCCTAGCAATGCAATGATGTAGGGCTCATGGCCTACCTTGGCACCATCACCAAAACTTGCAACACCATGAATCAGTTTGTGAACAAGTTCAACGTCCTCTATGATAGACAAGGCATCGGCAGGCGGATGCGGGGACTCTTCTTCTGAAGAGAGCACTTGAAGGGATCGCACCCAGGGCACTGGTAAATGTCCATAGGAGCCGGGCACTACCTCCCTCCAGAGAAACTGCTGTCATTAATAAAGGGGGAGCAGCCCTCAGCACCTTCCTGTGGCTTTGTCGTCTGTCACACTCACCCGGTGTCAATCTGGACCTTAGTTCCAGCGTTGTTCAGAGCCCGAATCCCTAATTACCAGTATTGCTAGCCCCTTCAGTGACTTGAGTTCACTCTTGACAGGACCCCTTCTTCAGTCACAGAACCATCTTTATGAGTTTTCCCAAGCTATCATTTGACGTGTTTTTCACATAGAAAAATGGGAGGTGTCCTGTGGGCACTGGACATCTTAGGTTGTGCTATGCCTCAGTGCTTGGCTGGTGGAATGTAAACTACACTTCACTGAGTGGACACAATAGAGATAGTTTAAGGAGGAGACAACTACACAAACTCCACAGTGCTTGTGGTCTACAAGTCAGGCCTAAGCCAGAGATAACAGCATACTTTTATTAGCAAAAAATATAAATCAAGTGCAACATGGGGAAAAGAGCCTTGAAAGCAACCCCTAGCACTCTGAGCAGGGCAGGGCAGGGCAGGGCAGGGCAGGGCAGCACTGTCAAGGTGAACCCCAGTGTCTCAAGCAAGCTGCAGTCAGACGAAGGTGATCCAGGTACGCGAGTTGTTGACCTGCCAGACGTTTAGCTCCTCATACTCGTCCAGAGCTGCCTGGAACTGAGCAGGTGTGAAGCCCCGTGACACGCAGCGCTGCTCCGCCTCAGAAAACCGCACGCTTCGGCCCCCCGAAACCAACTCACGGACAGTGGCAAAGATCACATCTGCAGGCCTCTGGGTCCTGGGGGTAACAAGGTTGTGTGTAAAGACAAGGTACAAACCGTAATACCCAGGCCACACAGACACAGAAACCAGAGATAGTGACCTTCCCAGGATCAGGGCTAGGTCGAGGTGGCTCAGTTTCACCCTGCACGAAGAGACTCACCTAGCTGTTTGCCCCTTGTCACCAAGAAGGGAGTCTTTGGACATCTCCATCAGCCTAATGGCTTCATTCACATCTTCCTTCTCCACGATGTCCACCATGCGCAGGCGGGCCTAAGGGAAGAGTAAAGGGAGAGGCGGGGAGGGGAGGGAGGGAGGAAGGCAGTCAGGGACCCTCCTGTTCCAGCTTTCTGGATGGGTAACTATGTGTGGCCTACTTGACAGAACAAGAATGGGGACCCCTCTGTGCCCCGCCACATCCGCAGTGTTGGGCCGGCACTGTCAGACCGAGACAAGTGCAATGCCCAGGGCAGCGTCCAGCAATTGCCCAAGTCTCCGCCTCTCAACACTGGCCAGTCCCGGTGTTCAGCTGTCTTGTGAGGGGAGTAGACCCCCTGAGCTCCACTGTGCTCCCCACCATGACAGATGGGGCCTGGCTTGTGTCCTGGGGGCTCGGGAAGTGCTAGCTCAGCAGTAGGCCAGGTAATCACGCTACCTGCACGAACAGCACTTTGGAGCCCCCACGACAAAGGTCTTGGGGGGTGGGGGGAGGCAGAAACGAAGGCTTATGGTTTCTAGTGGAGGAGCTAAGACCCAGGGAACGTGATGAAAGCCCCTTACCCTCCAAGCTCACAGCGCCAGGCCTTCCCCTCCTCGGGCGCCGCGCGTGCCCTGCCGGAGCAGCAAGTACCCACAGTGCGGTAGCACAGAAAGGACACTATCTGCACTGTCAGCACTTTAGCCCCAGCAGGGCTGCTGAGAGGGGGCAGCCGTGGGATGACCATGCTAAGGTGGGCTGCTAGGTAAGGGTCAGGTGGAGCTGGCACGGAACCAGTACTCACCAGAGCAGTGGACAAACGGAGAATGGCCAGCAGGGTCCGGGCTGAAGTGTAGGTGGCGTCCTTGCTGGCCCAGGCCTCGCGCCTCATCTCCACATAGGCTGCTGTGATATAGTCGGCAAGAGCCTCAGGCACCGCGGGCTGCCGCTCCCGGCACATGGCTATGTAACGCCTAGGGGAGAGACAAGCGCATGTTGGGTTCTGTGGAAAGAGTTCTCACACAAGATTCATAGACGGACTTTCTCAGGAAGGAAGAATTCGGTGGGCCATGATTTGCCTACCACTGAGGGCTTTCTCCAAACAGCGCTGCCAAGGCGCCTCAAATTACTTTTCACAACTTGGGAAGTGGGCTTTCATTAACAGAGCAATGTCATAAAGGGAAACCAGTTCTCTCTGAATGCATGACACAGATAAAAGTAATAATCCTGTGATTAAAAAGAACTGGGTGGAGAGAAAACCCTAAAGATCACTGTGGAGAAGTTACCAGATGTCTGCAGAGCAGCCTCCTGCTCAGAGGGGAGGGCAACATGGAAGCGGTGAGGAAGGAGGTCCCCTGGTCCCTGGCCTATCTTGAGGCTTGAATGCAGGGTCTGAACACTGTCCCCGAGCTGCTTTTGCTCAAGGCTGGCGCCCTACCATTTGAGCCACACAGCTCCACTTTTCAGCTTTTTAGTGGTTCACTGGAGACAAGAGTCTCATAGACTTTACCCATCCCACCCAGTCAGATTTAGGGTCTCCAGTGCCTGCAGAGGTTAACAGCAAGAAAAACATTGTCACGTGCCAGAGACTAGCCTCAAAGCAAACACAACCCTGTGCGGCCCCCTACCTCATCAGCTTCATATCCAAAGGTTCAAACTGGGCAGGGGGCTGCCGGCTGTGCTGGTGCACGTAGGTGATGTGCTGAGCCAATCTGGGAAGAGCAGAAGGAAGCTGTTCAGGCTGTGCACCAGTCCTGACCCAGCATTGCTCAGTGCTGCCTTGGGTCTCCCTTGTTAGCATCTCACCCCCACAATCTCCACAGTGGACTAGTCCTGCTGTTAAAGAGGCTGGAGAAAGCTCCCATGAGCTCTAGGTTGAGAGCTTTGTGGTCTGTCCCCCCCTCCACCCCCCCCCAAGCAAGGGCTGTCTGTCAGGGTGCTGAGCCACATTCACCGGAGGTCATTGTCCCGGTCAGGCCGGTCCTGGATCAGCCAGAGGAGGTCAAATCGGGAGAGCAGTGCTGCAGGAAGCTGTATGTTCTGCTCCAGACTGCGGCGAGGGTTGTAGCGCCCATAAGCAGGATTAGCAGCAGCCAGGATGGAGCAGCGAGCATTGAGGGTGGTGAGAATGCCCGCCTTGGCAATGGAGATGGTCTGCTGTTCCATGACCTCATGGATAGCTGTGCGGTCTGCCTCTGCCATCTTGTCAAACTCATCAATGCAGCAAATGCCTTGATCGGCCAGTACAAGGGCTCCGCCCTCCAAAGTCAGCTCTCCGGTCACAGTGTCTCTGAGCACAGCTGCAGTGAGCCCCACTCCAGAGGAGCCCCGGCCTGTTGTGTATTGGCCTAGAGGAGAGAAAACAGGATCACTGAGAAATGTGGGCGAGAACGAGCCTAGGTGAGTGGCCTAAGGCCTGGGCTGGAACTGCTCACCTCAGTACAGGGTGGCTGGAGACCAGGGATGCTGCTATGCTAGAACACCTCCCTGCCTCACCACTGCCCTCCCCAGATCTCAGCCCACCCACCATGCTTTTGGAACCACAACAGCCATTCTATGGTTGCTCCCACTTACTTCGGGGGGCCAGACGATCAATGTAAGACAGGAGTTGAGATTTGGCTACCCCAGGATCTCCCATCAAGCAGATGTTGATGTTGCCTAGAGAAGGCAAAGAAACCACGGAATGACCATCTCCCAACAGAGAACTAGAGACCTGCTTGCTTCCCCCACTATATACCCCACATTCTTTTTTTTTTTTTTTCTTTTGGCCAGTCAAGGGGCCTGAACTCTGGGCCTGGGCGCTCTCCCTCAGCTCTTCAGCTCAAGGCTAGCGCTCTACCACTTGAGCCACAGCACCACTTCTGGCTTTTTTCATTTGCTTATGTGGTGTTGAGGAATCGAACCCAGGGCCTCACACATGCAAGGCAAGCGCTCTACCACTGAGCCATCTTCCCAGCCCCACATTATTTCTTCTAAGCCTTTCCTGCAACCATGGATCCAGATGCCAACTCTTGCCTGAAACCTGCAGACTCTGCATAAGTCACCCTCTTCAAGCCTCTTTCCCTCTCACCTCGGATTTTCATGCCTCGAGGAGACTGGTCCACGCCGCCCACCAGCAACAGCAACAGCGCCTTTTTCACGTCTTCATGCCCATAAATTTCGGGGGCAATAGAAGCAGCCAGCTTCTCATAAAAGTCCTCCTCTGCAGGGGAATAGAGATGAGAGCACTCCCCAGAGACAAAGTGCAACCCTCCACTCTCCTGGCCCCTCACCTGCAATCTGCCTCAGCTCCTCTCTGCTCAGCTCTCCCGTCCCTGCCTCTTCATCCTCACTCTTATTCATCTTCACGATCCGGTGGGCTTCCAGATAAGTTTCTGAGAGCAAACCCTGGAAAAGAAAATGCCAGAACATGAATAACACAATTACCTAAAGGTTACCTAAAAACAACCAGAATGGGATGGTCAAGAGAAAAGACAATATGACTTCAAAATCCTTCTCTTACCTGTACTACCTGTCGGAATCCAGTGCGCAGAATTGGCAAGAAGATCCCGGTGACACTGACATGGTCTCCAGGCTGGGCAATCCTTGTGTTCTCCCCTTCCACCAGCACCGTGATGCTCCGAGGGATGTTGCCCACGGGCACCTGGTCACTCTAGGGGAAAAGAGAGCACAGGAGAAGAGTATAGGCCTTCCTCTGCCAGGCACCCACTGCAGACTAGATTACAAGAGGGAAACAGAGGCTTCTACCTTCCCTCTTCTTTTGTTCTTTCTTCCTGCTCCTCTGTGAGTGACTGCAGGATTCAAGTGACTACCTGTTCTACCTGCCCTGGGCCACATACCCCACACTCACATGTTCCTGCATCTTCATCTCCTGAAACTTGATGAATTTGGAGCCTCGTGTCTGCAGATAGAGCCGCCCTCCTGAGCGGTTGGTTTGGCACTCCTGGCTCGGGCACATGATCAGAGGCATGAAAGTGGGAGACTGGATCTAAGACAAGAGAAAGGAAGCAAAAGGAAATCAGAGGAACTCCTTCAATGATTCTAGGTGAGTATCGACCAACACCAAGGAAACAAAAACAGATGAGAGACCACTATATATCGAGGAAGAAAAATATAAGCGAACACTTTTTCTGATGGCCAGAAAAGAAAAAATCCAAGTCATATTAGTGGACCAAATTACTTCCAACAAAATACTACCCAACTGCTCTCCTGTTTCATGTCCCAACATACCGGCTGGTAAGTCTCTGCCCCACACTGGTCACACGTGTAGGTGGCCACCACCATCCTAGGTTTGACTTCAGAGACACGAGTGACAATTCCACGCACAGTCACCAACTTCCCTACAGAGTCAGCCCGAACTTCACGGATCACACGAGGCTTGTTGCTACTTGGGCCTTGAAAGTATAGCTCACTAAGGGAAGAAAATCATAATCAACGTCAGGGGAACAAGTCTTGCACTCCAACAAAGACACTCATAAGGGGCTGGGAATGTGGCTTAGTGATAGTGTGTTTGCCTAACATGCACGAAGCCCCAGGATCCAGTCCTCAGTACCACACAAACAGAAAAGGCCACTAGCTGGGCGTCAGTGGTTTACTCCTGTAACCCTAGCTATTCAGGAGGCTGAGATCTGAGGATCATGGTTCAAAGCCAGCCCAGACAGGAAGGAAAGTTCGTGAGACTCTTATCTCCAACAAACCACCAGAATGTGGTAGAGTGCTAGCCTAGAGCTGAAGAGCTGAGGGACAGTGCCCAGGCTGAGTTCAAACACCCCCCCCCCCGAAAAAAAGCCACAAGTGGCACTGTGGCTCAAGTGGTAGAGTGCTAAGCCTTAAGCAAGAAGCTCAGGGACAGTATCCAAGCCCAGAGTTCAAGCCCCAGGACCAAAACAAAGACACTCACAATCTGCGCATGAGCTCAGGAGGATACTGGTTCTGGGGGCTTCGAGTGGCTCCAGGGTCCCTAGTCCGTTGTTCCATCATGAGCCGATGCTCGATATAAACATCTAAGACATCTTTGTTTACCACCTAAAGGAGAAAAAGTAAGAGAAATGAGAGGCAGCATAGAAAAGATGGACTAGAGAACAGGACTATGCTACCAACGCCCCTTTCTCTAATCAAGATGCCAGAAGCTTGTCAATAGAAGCTTAGCTCCTGGCTCAGCCCTGCAGTCACTCACCTCCCTCTCCTTGTACTGAGGTAGCAGTTCTTGTACAACATCGGCAAAGAGCCTGGAATAGCGCTTGGCATTCTCACAAATTGAATCCACCAACTCTGGGTCTTCCTCAGCTACATCATCCAGGTCCACATACATTGCCACTTGATCTCGATGTGCCAGCTGAACCTGAGATAGAAGAGACAACATGTCAGAGAGCTAAATTCACCTTGTTCACAGCACAAAGCCTATTAATGTTGAGATCTAGGCACTTCCTGGACATCTATCTATAAGGGAAAAAAGAAACAACTTCCCAACTCAACCAAACACCCTGACTTTATGAGTACAGTATGCTAACTGAGTACTAGGTACCCTGACAAACAAGTAACGCAAACATCCTTGAAGAAACAAGACAGAACACCTCTTACAGGTCCTTTGGCACCAGCCCATTTCCCATTTCCTTCAGTCTATCTTGGACTTACCAACTGGTTCCCATACTTGAATTGCTTCTTCCCAAGTTCATCATCCTGGTAAAACTCTTGTAGGAACTTCTTCACCTTTTCTACAATATTAAATCCAAAACAAAGCCTTTCATTGCTTTTCGATTCTCTATTGAACATCCCACTAAGCTGGAGCCTAAGAAGTCCACTTTTCATTTAAGACAGGACCTAGAGAACTAATTAATCCTAGGAGCAGTTAAGTAAGCCTACCCAGTTCTTCCCCCAGGAGAGGCGGGATTCCTTTTCAGTTCTGTTTTTACCTGGAGAAGAACGGTTATCTTACTCCAAACCTTCCCTCCCTCCATCAGAATTCCAGTTTGCCTTAGTTAAGGTTCTTACTTAGCCCCTCTCTCCAACAGCCTCCAGCTACCCGCAAAACCCTCGAGCCGCCTCCTACCTGTATGACTCTCTGTATGACTCCTTCCTTTGGTTCCCCCCAAAATCTGCGCTCTCGTCCGGAGCTCGGCCACCAGACTGTCCCTCCACCCCACACCCCCGCCACTGCTTCCGCTCTTAGTAAACAAAGAAGCACATGGGCCCGTATTCCAGCCGCTTCACCGCCCCGGGATTCCTCCGCCCGGGGCGGGAGTGCGTCCAGCGATTGGCCAGCAAGCCCAGCACCACACCGTCCCGCCTCCCCCCGCGGCTCCGCGCTCAGCCTCGCGGCGCCAGCCTCACCTCCCTTCTCGGCGGCCCTCGCCGAGTCCCCCCCCGCGCGGAAGGACACTGTTTACACACCGTACTCCCTGCTCCCGCGTCGCGCCACTTCCGCCCGCCACGACTTCCGCTCGGGAGGGCGGCCTGAAGTGGCCAATCACGGCGCTCAGCGGACCACGACGGCCCGCCCCCGAGGCTTCCGCGCGTCTCCGCTAGACGCGGGAACTTGCAAAGCGCCCCAAGGCGCGGGAGGAAGCGGCCCGGAGTCCTCCAATCTGAGGTCAAGAGCGCTTAACTTCCCTGAAACCAGGGTCTCCCGCCGTCCAGGGCGCGACCCTCCCCTCCGCTGCAGCACCCTAACTGTGATATCCCTTTTTACGACCCTACACCCTTTCTGAGCAGAATGGAGTGCCTGGTTTTCTTCTATCCAGATGCTCCCCGCGAGCTCCCAGGAATTCTAAGCCTCGATCCCAAGAGGGCCTGATTCTGTCTGAGCCCGCCGACCCCATCCGACCCCTGCTCACGCCAACAGGTGTGTCTGCTGGGAGGCTTCCCGCATAGGACTGCGCTCCTAGGCTTGCAGACCCCCTACCTTTCTCGATCGCGTAGTCCTTAAGTGCCATCGCCGCCGGGGACCGTGCAGCGGCAGTTGGCGGGCTCGGTTGTTTCACTCGCGGGAATCCCAAGACGTTTGTGCGGCGGACTTGTGGCCGGCCAACCGAAATTGGCGCGAAACGTCGCCTCTCATGTGACCGGCCACGCTGCGTGAGGGCCAATTGGAATGGACAACTCTCCACCCCCCTCCCACCCGCCGCTTCTGGCTCCGGCCTTATCCAATCACTGGGCGAGTTTGGGCTGAGTGACAGAGAAGCGGTGGGCGGGGCGGGAAGGCAAGGCCAAAGCAGGCGGGGCCGGGGGCGCGTTTCCCGCGGTGAGAGCCGGCGCGGGCGGAGGGGAGTCACTCTTAAAGGGCCAGCCTAAGCTTGTCCTTTTGTTCCCGACCCGAAGGGCGGGGCAGGCCCAACTTTAACCGTCCTTCTGTCTAGTCTTCCCGAGCGGCCATGATTTCCCAGTTCTTCATCCTGTCTTCCAAGGGGGACCCGCTCATCTATAAAGACTGTATCCTTGGCCTGCGGGGCGGGAGTTGAGTGGCTGGGTGGAAATGGAGCCCCAAACCCGTCTGTGTCGCCGGCTCCTTAACTGTCCTTCCATCTGGCCAGTTCGCGGGGACACTGGTGGTCTGGATGTGGCCGAGCTGTTCTACCGGAAGCTGACGGGACTGCCTGGAGATGAGTCCCCGGTTGTCATGGTAACCGCGGGGCGGGTGGGGAGGGGGCTGCGGGCTTGTCCGGCCTGGTTGGTGCCCTACCCCACCACCTCTCCTTTTCAAGGCTTCCTACGAGGGTGTGGGGGGCGTGCTGTGTGTGTACATTCCTCCTCCGCACGAGGTGAATCAGAGTTTACTGAGCGCTCAGAGCCATTCTAGTGCTTTCCACCTCTGACCCGCAAGAGTTCTGGGTAGGGTACTATCTATCAGTAACTCCCTTGACACAATAGGAAACCGGGCCTTAGGGAGGGTTCAGGATATGGCCTAGTCACATTGCTCTTACAGCTGGCAGGGACTTCAGGCGTGGATGTGTCTGTGTCTGTGTCTGTCTGTGTGTGTCTCAGTAGTGTGGGCTTGAACTCAGGGCCTGGGTGCTGTCGCTTAGCTGGAGCTCTACCTCTTGAGCCACAGCTCCACTGCGAGCTTTTTGGGTGGTTCATTGGAGAGTCTCACAGACTGGACAGGCTGGTTTGGAACCTCAGTCTTCAGATTCCAAGCCTCCTGAGTGGCTAGGGTGATGTGAGCCATCAGCACCCAGCTCTCTTGAGTCTTTGATCATTAATTACAGACCTCTTCCTAATGCTTTTTATCTCCACCAGCATTATGGTGACCGGCACTTCATTCACATCAGACACAGCAGCCTCTATTTGGTGGCCACTACTTTTGAAAACGTCTCTCCCTTTGGCCTGCTAGAGTTACTCTCTAGGTGAGAAGGGCTGGAAGTAGGACCTGAGCGAAGGATTATGAGCATGTACATACTCTGCCCTGTTTTCTCAGGTTAGCCACGCTCCTGGGTGATTACTGCGGCACCCTCAGTGAGGGGACCATCTCCCGCAATGTGGCTCTCGTCTACGAACTCCTAGATGAGGTTTTGGTAAGGCCCTAGGACTCCCTCTCTTATTCCCTGATTCCTGAGGATATACCTCTTCACTCTTCAACTGTGGGGTTCTGTAGTTGGGAAGCTAAATCCACTCCTTTTCTACCTTTCCCCTTCATTAGGACTATGGCTATGTACAGACTACATCCACAGAGATGCTGAAGAACTTTATTCAGACAGAAGCTGTGGTCAGCAAGCCCTTCAGCCTCTTTGACCTCAGCAGCGTTGGCTTGGTCAGTAGCCAGGAAGAAGGAACAACCCCAATAAGGTTGGCTGGGAGCATCAAAGCTGACCATTGTTTGCTTTGGGTGTTTCAGTTTGGGGCTGAGACCCAACAGAGCAAAGTGGCCCCCAGTAGCGCAGCTGGCCGCCCAGTCCTGTCCAGTCGCTCTGACCAGGTAAGGGAGAGATCATTGAGGTCAGGCTTTCTGATTTTTTTTTCTGGGACCTCAGAATCTAAGAGGCTGCCATATCTTTCCATTTCCCTAGACACCTGCCTTCACCCTGTGTTCCTTCTCCAGGGTTTTGGTTCAATTTCTCTGTCCTTTCTGCCTTTAAATTTTTTATTTATTTATTTTGGTACTGTTATTGGGGCTTAAACCCAAGGTCGGCAGCTGTTACTTAGCTTTTTCTACTCAAGGCTGGATTCTACCACTACAGCCATACCTCCACTTCCAGTTTTTTGCTAGTTAATTGGAGATAAAGAGTTTCTTGGATTTGTTTGCCCAGTCTGGCTTTGAACCTTGATGCCCAAATGTCAGCCTCCACTATCTATTTTAGATCACAGGCCCTTACCCTCTACTACTAAATCCTCTCTCTTTCTCAGAGCCAAAAGAACGAAGTTTTTTTGGATGTAGTAGAGAGACTGTCTGTGCTGATTGCATCTAATGTAAGTTTGAGCTCCCAGCCCCAGAGCTAAAGACAATTAACTGGTACTTGGGCAGCAGGCGGGGGAGACCCGGACTGTGCCTAACCTCCCTGCCACTCCCAGGGCTCCCAGTTGAAGGTGGATGTGCAGGGAGAGATTCGACTCAAGAGTTTCTTGCCCAGTGGCTCTGGTGAGGCCCGGGGATGGAATGTGGGACAGGCTGTCTGATGGCATCCATGACATTAGCTGACCCTCTCCCTGATGATGCTTTTTCTTCCAACAGAGATACGCATTGGCTTGACAGAAGAGTTCTGTGTGGGCAAGTCAGAACTGAGAGGTGAGAACTCGAGTCTTTCCTAGGGGAGGTGACTGCTGAAGGTTTCATGGAGAAAATCAGAAACAGCCAGGCAGGGTGGCTCATGCCTGTCATCCAAGCTACTCAGGAGGCTGAGATCTGAGAGTCATGGTTCATAGCAAACCCAGGCAGGAAAATCTGAGGGATTCTTTATCTCCAGTTAACCACCAAAAAGCCAGAAATGGCACTGTGGCTCAAAGTGGTAGAGTGTTAGCCTTGAGCACAAAAACTCAGGGACAATGCCCAGGCCCTGAGTTCAAGCCCCAGGACCAGCACAAAAAAAGTGAGAGTGAGAGAGAAACAAGTATTTTCTCCCCTCCCTGTTTTCTCTCCAAGTTCTTTTCTCAGAAGAGTCTTTATCTTTCTGCAGGTTATGGGCCAGGAATCCGGGTTGATGAAGTCTCATTTCACAGCTCAGTAAACTTGGATGAATTTGAGTCACATCGGATCCTCCGCTTGCAGCCTCCTCAGGGCGAGGTCAGGCTCTGGGTGGACTAGTGTGTTCCATCCACCCTAGGGGCGGAGACAGTGTGGAATGGAGACCACACTGACCTCCTTCCCCTCTGGCCTCAGCTGACCGTGATGCGGTACCAACTCTCCGATGACCTCCCCTCCCCACTCCCCTTCCGGCTCTTTCCCTCTGTGCAGTGGGACCGAGGCTCAGGCCGGTGAGACCATTTCCTGTATTTTAGGACTTCTCTGAAAGCTAAGACTGTATGTTCCCAAGAGTAATACTTGTCTTGAAGGGTGGTGGTAAGGGTGATAGCATACAACTAGAAAGACTTGGTTGTGTCTGGCTAGATTCTGGCCTGGCTACTTGGGGTACAACCTATACAGCCTCACATGAAGGCCCTGGGTGATAAATAGTGAAATACCTGTTGCGTATGGCCTAAATACTGCTATCTTGTTCTCTGCAATAGGCTCCAGGTTTATCTGAAATTACGGTGCGACCTACCCCCAAAGAGGTAAGCTGGCTGGCCAGAGCCAGGGTCAGCACCAACAATGGGCTTTTTCCTTCAGACTCATCCACTGGCCTCAGAAGTCACTCAAATCAGGAGCTCTAGCATTTTGGGAAGGTGTGGGGGTGGGGATGCACCTGTGCTGTGCTCCATAGTGACAGGGAACAACGCAAGGTGGGCGCTGGTGGCTCACACCTGCAATCCTAGCTACTCAGGAGGCTGAGACCTGAGAATTACAGTTTGATGCCAGCATGGGCAGAAAAGTTCATGAGACTTTTTATCTCCAATGAGCCAGCAAAAAGCCAGAAGCAGAGCTGTGACTCAAGTGGTTGTGAGCGCCAGCCTTAAGTGAAAAAGCTTAAGGGATAGTTCATAAGGCCTGAGTTCAAGCCTCAAGACTGATGAACAAGGTAATAGAGTACTACTTTTCTAGAGATGACCCTATCTGTGCCTTTCTTTGCAGCCAAGCTCTCCACGTCCGACTGCATCTTCCCCTACCGAGAGGGGTAGTCAGGTTAGTGCCAGCTTCCCTGGGGTGGAGTGTAAATGCCAAAGGTGAAGCTGAACCCAGCACCTCCTTCCTTCCCCTTTCCTTCCTCCAGCCTGTCTCAGGAGCTAAGCAGCCCGGAGCAGAAGGCAGAGCTGGCAGAGGGGGCCCTGCGCTGGGACCTGCCCCGGGTACAAGGAGGATCTCAGCTCTCAGGCCTTTTCCAGGTATCCACTGTCCAGCTCACGCTCTCTGTTCCACCTTCACCGGGGCCTCTGAGCAGTCCTGCACCAGTACTCCCAGTGCAGCTGCTCTGCCTTTGCCACCAGCATGGGCAGCAGCCAGCCTCATGGCCTCCCTGTCTTCTTTCCTCACAGATGGATGTCCCTACCATGCCAGGGCCTCCCACCCATGGGCCCTCCACCTCCGCACCCCCGCTGGGGCTAGGACCAGCCAGCCTCTCCTTTGAACTCCCCAGGCACACATGTTCTGGCCTCCAGGTTCGATTCCTCAGGCTGTCCTTCAGCCCTTGTGGAAATGCCAATCCCCACAAGTGGGTGCGCCACCTAAGCCACAGCGATGCCTATGTCATTCGGATCTGAGGCTGCCCAGACAAGGACGGAGGCAGCAAAGGCAACAAGCAGGTGAAAAAGAAAAGGACATTTTCCTCCCAGGCTCTAGCCTGCCATGGAGCATCAGGGCACAAATAATTCTGAATCTTAAGCCCAGAGGGCTCTGCAGACTGGCCCCTTCCATTGCAGGTGACGTGGAAGGCTCAGAACTTACAAATCAAACTTTTATTCTGAGGATCTGACGACTGTACAGTATCTAAAAAGAAAGTC